ACATCATCATCAACATCACAATCATCATCATCATCATAGTCATCAGCCTCACCACCGACATCAGTTGTACCATAATCACCACCACCTTTATCATGATCCACACAATCAGCGTCAACTGCCACAGCATCCTCATCATCATTCTCAGCATGAGCATCATCATCATCGTCATCAGCATCATCATGATCAGCATCAGCCTCGGAATGATAATAACCAGCAAAAAATCATCAACATCATCATCAGTATCATCACCATCATCATCAACATCGTCATCATCATCATCATCATCATCAGCATCATCATCATCCTCATCATCATAATCATCATCATCATCATCAACATCATCATCATCATCATCATCATCCGTCATCGTCATTATCACCCGACATCATCAGCAGCATGTAACAACATCATCACCTCCACCATCACAGTCATCAGCATCATAATCACAGGCAGCATAATCGTCACCAGCGTCATCATTATCAGCATCATCATCAGCATCATCATCATCCGCAACATCATCAACAACGACGGCAGCATCAGAAACAGCATCATCAGCATCGTGCCAGCCTCGGCAGCATCATCATCATCATCATCATCATCATCATCACCATCATCATCATCACCATCATCGACAGCATCAGCATCAGTCGCACCATCATTAACAACAACAACAGCAACAACATCATCATCATCATCATCATCATCATCATCATCATCATCATCATCATCATCATCGACACCGCCATCATCATCATTAGCAGCATCAACGTCATCACCATAATAATCACCATCATCATCACCATCATCATTATCACCATCACCATGACATTCACCATCCTCATCAGCATCATCAGCCTCAGCATAATTATCATCGTAATCATCATCATCAGCAGCAGCAGCCACCTCCTCCTCGTCATTGTCATCCTTATCCTCGTCAGCAACATCATCATCAGCAGCATCGTCGTCGTCGTCAGAATCACAACCATTATCATCATCAACATAATGAGCACCATCTGCCACAGCATCCTCATCATCATCCTCAGCATCACCATCATCATAATCATAAGAATCAACATCATCATAAAAAACATTGCCATCATCAACATCATCATCATCAGCATCATAAGCATCATCAATCGTCATCATCATCGTCATCATCATCATCATCATCATCATCATCATCAGCATCATCATCATCATCATCATCATCATCATCATAGTCATCATCATCATTATCATCATCAGCATCATCATCCTCATCGTCATCACAATCATCAGCATCGTCATCATCATCATCAACCTCATAATCATAACCATCATCATCGTCGACATGATCACCATAATCACCATCAGCATCATCATCATCAGCATCATCTTTATCATCTATATCGTCAGCGTCATCACAACCATGTCATCATCATCATCATCATCAGTATCATCAGAATCATCATCGTCAGCATCATCATCCGTCATCATCAACATAATTATCATCATCATCCACATCATCGTCATGATTATCGTGATCATCGTCAACATCATCGTCGTCATTATTATCATCAGCAGCAGCAGATTCATCATCATCGTCATCATTATTCATTATCAGCATCAGCATCCTCATCCTGATCATAAATATCATCATCGTCAGCACCATCATCCGTCATCATCATAATCATCATTGTCATCGGTATTGTCATCATAATCATCAGCAGCATCAGCATCATCATGCTCATCATCAGCATTAGCATCATCATCATGATCCTCATCAACATAGTCAGTATCATCATCAGTCATCATCAACAGCTTCGTAATCATCATCATTACCACGATCTTCATCATCAGCAGCATCATCATAATCATGATCATCAGCTTCATCATCACCATCATCATCAGCAGCATTATCATCAGCAGCAGCATAATCATCATCATCAGCAGCATCAGCATCAGCATCAGCATCAGCATCAGCATCATCATCACCCTCTGTCCCCCTTCTCATCCCCCAGTCTTGCTCCACCAGACCCTCCCCTCCTTATCCTCCCCTCTCCTCCCCCTCTCCCTCCATTCATTCTTCCTTCAAAAACTGCACCGCACCTCCTAAACCTCCCGCTCCTCCCAGGCCTCCCCGCTATCCCGAAAGCTCGCGCTCCTCCGGAAAAGGAACCATGTTCTCCACCGGCGGCCCACCCGGTAGCCACCAGCTGACCCTGCCGGCCAGGTGCGAGGGGAACGCCTGGGGCGACTCCAGCGCGACACGACGGGCGCACCATGCTTGCTCGGGGGAGGACTGCTCGCTGACCCAAATAACTGCACACCACGCTCGATGTCCCTTGGGGCGGCCTGCCCCAAGAAACTGCACACCACCCATCTTCATTTTGGTTGACCAAAAAAAGGGTCCAGCAGAAAGAGGGTGCAATAAGTTTGGGGCAATCGTATTTCAAATGTATTGCGCCAGAGAATGTGATTGCATTGTATTGCAACTAACGTGTTGCCCGCGAGAACCCAGCAATACATCTGCGCGAATGTGTTGCACGCCCCAAATCTACTGAAACCCCCCAAAATCGCTCCAAATCTACTGCACCACCCCCTTTTCGCTGGACCCCCTTTTGGGTCAACCAGGTTCATTTACCATCAATCCACTGAGCTGGGGCGCTGCTCCCGCTGCCCCCCCGAGGGACGGTGTCTGTCTCCGGCCACCGCGTCCCCTCGGGACCTGCCACGGGTGCGGGAGGGTGGACCCGCTTCTCTTCCTCCCCTTCCGCCACCTCCTCCTCCTCCTCCTCCTCCTCCTCCTCCTCCTCCTCCTCCTCCTCCTCTTCCTCCTCTTCCTCCTTCGCCTCCTCCTCCTCCTCCTCCTCCTCCTCCTCCTCCTCCTCAGCATCATCCTCATCCTCATCCTCATTATCGTCCTCATCCTCATCATCAGTCTCATCATTATGATCGTCATCGTCAGCATCATCATCAGCAGCATCAGCATCATCACCACCACCACCACCACCACCACCACCACCATCATCATCATCATCATCATCATCATCATCATCATCATCATCGTCATCATCATCATCATCATCATCATCATCATCATCATCATCATCATCATCATCATCATCATCATCATTATCATCACATCATCATCATCATCATCATCATCTCATCATCATCATCATCATCATCATCATCATCATCATCATCATCATCATCATCATCATCATCATCATCATCATCATCATCATCATCATCATCATCATCGTTATCATCAGCATCATCATCATTACGATAGCATCATCATCAATATCATCATCAGCAGCAGCATCATCATGAGCATCATCATCAGCAGCATGGATCGTCAACATCATCATCATCATCATCATCATCATCATCATCATCATCATAAGCATCATCGGCACCACACCACCAGCATCATCATCACAGTCATCATAATCATCATCATCATCGTCATCATCATCAGCATCATCATCTGCATCTTCATAATCAGCATCATCATCATCTACAATAGCATCAACCACATCATCATCATTAGTAGCAGCATCATCAGCGCAGATGCAGCAGCATCAGCGCCGCAGCAGCACCAGCATCCGAATCAGCATCATCACCAGCATCATCATCAGCATCAGCATCAGCATCATCGACAGCATTTGCATCACCATCATCATCGGCAGCAACAGCATCAGCATCATCATCGTACTCCTCATCATCAACATCGTAATCCTCACCATCAGCATCATCATCGTTAGCAGCATCAGCATCATCATCGTCGTCGTCATCGTCATCGTCATCGTCATCAGTATTCTCATCCTCAGCATCCTCACCACGGCCGTCATCATCATCATCATCATCATCATCATCATCATCATCATCAGCATCAGCATCATCATCATCAGCAGCATCATCGACGTCAGCATTGCCATTACCAGCAGCATCATCACCACCATCAGCAGCAGCAGAAACAGCAACAGCATCAGCATCGGAATCATTAGTCTCATCCTCATCCTCGTTATACTTAGCAACAGCAACAGAATCATAATTGTCACCATCAGCATCCTTGTGATGGTCATCCTCATCAAAATCAGCATCGTCATCATCATCATCGACTCAGCATCATCCTAAAAACACCAACATCAACAGCAACGTCATCATTTTCACCACCATAATCATTGTCAGCAGAAGACTCATCATCATCATCAACCGCAGCAACATCATCACCATCAACATCACCATAAGCATCATAAGCAGCCTCAGCGGCATCATCATCAGAATCATCATCATCATAATACCATCACCATCATATCATCATCGTCATCATCATTATCATCATCAGCAGCATCGTCATCATCGTAAGAATCGTCATCATCATCATCATCATCATCATCATCATCATCCTCTTCAGCACGGTCATCAGCATCAGCAGCATTATCCTCAGCATGAGCATCAGCGTCAGAATCATCATCATCCAGCAGTATCTTCATCATCACCACCATCACGACCATCATCACCATCACGACCACCATCACCATCATCAGCAACAGCATCGGCATCAGCATCATCATCAGCAACAGCATCGACATCAGCATATGCATATCATCATCGTCGTCATCATCATCAGCATCATCATCATAATCATCATCATCAGCAGCATCATCATAATCAGCATCATCAGCATCGTCATCATCATCAGCATCAGCAGCATCATCATCAGAATCAGTATCATCATCATCCGCATCCTCAGCATCACCAGCATCATCATCATCAGCAGCATCATCATCCCCTTCCTCCTCCTGTTCCTCTTTCTACCCTTCTCCCAAGTACTGCTCTTCCCCTCCTCTTCTCCCTCCTCCTCCTGCTCCTCCTCCTTTTCCTCCTCCTCCTCACCGTCCCCCTTTCCCCTCACCCTCCCCCACCTCCTCCTCCTCATCCTCCCCCTTCCCCTCCCCCTCCCCCATTCCCCTCCTCCTCCTCCTCCTCCTCATCCTCCCCCTCCTCTTCTCCGCCCCTTGGATGCGCAAGGATGCCGCGCGGGAGCGGGTGCCCCACCGCACCGCCTCTCACACCCCGCCCCCCCCTGGGGGCGCTGCACGCTTGGGACGGCCCGTGCGGCAATCACCACCGGGATGCAGCCGGTGAGCATCGCGTCGAACAGCCGCTTCTGGTGCGGCACGTCGCCCTGGACCACCGGGCAGAAGACGGAGCGGAACATCTCCTGGCAGCTGTCCCGGGGCCTCCCAAGCATCGCGCGTCGCGACCCGCGCGATGTGCGGCACGCGATGCACGTCGCGCACGCGCGTCCTCGCGCCGCCCCCCTTGGAGAAGGGAAGCCGCTCTGGCCCAGACCGCGGCGCTCGAGGTGCCACTGGCTTCGTGCCCCCCGCGGGCGACCTCGGCTCCACATCCGCTCCGTCTCGCGCACACCAGTGCGGGCATTGTATCCTCTCTGCGCTGCAGCGCTGCCGCCCTGCGCGCGCCCGCCCGCGGAGGCGGCCAGGCGAAGGCGACCAGGAACGGCCGGCAGAGGTTCGTTCCCCCCACCCCCTGGTCTGGGCTTGGAGCTGCGGCTCGCAGGCCAGGGGGTGTTTGAATAGGAACATCTTCAAACAAGAGATGAGCGTGACATCGCCTTGGAGCCGTGCCCACGTGAGGGGCTAAGCGGGCTGGGGACGGCGAGCTCCGAAGAGGAGGATGGTGCGCGCACGCCTTGCGAGGGGCTCACATTGGCCCCTGTGACAACCCAAGGCGGTGTTCACGCACCGTGTCGTGCTGGGGTGGGCCCCGTGTAGTGCCAGTGTGGGCTCCTGTGTAGTGCTCGAATGGGCCCCCACAGAGGTGGAGTGCGAAACCTGCGAGGCGTGGTCCAAGTTTGAGTGCACAGCAGTCTGCCGAACTCCCCTCAGGAGAAGCAAATTGCACGAGAGGTGTAGCGTGGTCCAACTTCGAGGAGGAGGAGGAGGAGGAGGAGGAGGAGGAGGAGGAGGGCGGCGGGAAGGGTAGCCGAACAGCTGTTGAGAAAACGGATCCACCACCACAGGAGGGTGGGTGAAACACTCGGATCAACTCTCTGGGCATGCGCTGAATCCCCCATGGAAAGAGAGAAAAAAAGAGTAAAGCATGACTTAACACAGCAAGAGAAACCGTCGCTTCCCCGCACGTGTTGCCTAACTTCTCCGGAGAAGGCGGCCATGCATTTCCGACACTGTCTGTGGTCTATAGAGTCACAAGGCGAAATCTCGGTCTGGCACAGGATGATGGGAACGGGGCCGGGTATCAAAAAGAACAGACGTAAAATCTGGCTGGGAATTTGGCAGGGAACACCAGCGAAAGCAAAAGAGAATGCTGCAACAAAAGCTGGTGGGCGCGAGGGTGCATGGTTTGGCGTGGAATGATTCAGAAGCGCGAGCGGGAGTTCATGCTTGCCTTCTGAGCACGCTCCCATCCTTCTGCCACGAGACCAGGGTGTTGGACGCACTGGGCCCTGCTGCTGAAAGTCGGGGATGGACGGACCCCCCTTTAGTAAAACGTGGTTTAGTGAAAACGACCTGAGGCCCAAACGTGGCGGGCGCAAGCCTGGAAACTGACGGCCACGGCGCCCTCTCGAGAACCGCAAACGGACAATTCACTAATCGAGGTGTCACTGTTGGGGGTTCAGTCCACCCCCGAGAAAGGGCGAACCCTCCCTCGCGGGCCCTGGATCCAGGGGCTCCTTGGCCTGGCTCCAGAGCGGCCGTGTGCTGTCATGGCTCCCTGGGCCTCTTTCCGAGCCACGGCCTGGCCAAGTGGCCGACCAGCCATTGGGGGGTCAACGGGCTAGCTGAGGTCCGGGCGTCGCATTCTTTCGCGCCGGGCGTTTCCGCCCGGCCTCGGGCCCCGGGGAGCCGCAGGGATGGATGCGGCTCGAGGAGTGCTGTGAAAAGATGGGGTGCACGGTGCACGGTGCATGGTCCTCCTCCTTCCCTTTTCCTCCTCCTCCTCCTCCTCCTCCTCCTCCTCCTCCTCTTCCTCCTCCTCCTCCTCCTCCTCCTCCTCCTCCTCCTGCTCCTCCTCCTCCTCCTTTTCCTCCTCCTCCTCCTCTATTCTTGGCGAGGTTGCATGTTTGTCCGCCACGTCAGATCTGAGGGGAAGGGCAGCTCGAGATGGAGGCCTCCTGCCGTCGCAGAAGGCAAGACGACATAGGCACAGCCTGTCGGAGCTCCGCGCGGATCTCTTGGACCCACGCTGGGCCCCACTGGCGGCACCCCTGGCGCCGCCCCTGGCACCGCGCACCAGGGAGGGGGATCCAGCGCCGATCCAAGAAATCCGCACGGACCTCCGAAAATTGCTGTTGGTACGTTTCTTCCGCTGATCCCGAAATGGGTACGGAAAGAATGGGTACAATGCCCAGCAACAAGTGTTGTCCCAGACCAACAGCGGCCGCTGTTGGGCAGGCGGCCTCCTGTCTCAAATGGACACAGGCAGGGCGGCGCGGACAGCGAGTCCTGTTGAAAAAGAACAGGA